GGTGCCAGAGCAGCGAATAGCTTTGACTGGGCTGAGCGGGAACTGTGCTTCCGTAGAGGTAGGGGGGCTAGCCAGCCAGAGGTGGATGAACGTAGTGCCCTCGTTTGGGTGTAGGGTCTGATCAGAGCCTGAAGGTAAGGAGGTGCCGTTCCCCTCACAGCTCCGTAGGCAAGCACCATGGTCTTGTAGTAGATGCGAGCCTCAACTGGAGGCCAGTGGAGTGTGCGGAGGAGCGGGGTGACATGAGAGAACTTGGGAAGGTTGAACACCAGACTGGCTGCAGCGTTCTGGATAAATTGTAGGTGTTTAATGGCACAGGCACAGAGCCCAGCCAACAGCGAGTTGCAGTAATCCAGACGGGAGATGACAAGTGACTAGATTAGGACCTGTGCCGCTTTCTAATGAGGGAATAACACACACCTGTCCATGGAACAGCTGAGCAGGCAAATTGTCCAATTACTTTTGGTCCCTTAAAAAGGGGGGGACCACATATAAAAAGTGCTGTAATTCCTACACCGTTCACCCGATTTGGATGTAAATACCCTCAAATTAAAGTCTGCACTTTCAGCTCATATTCATTATTTAATTTCAACTCCAATATGCTGTGGTAGACAGCTAAAATAATAATAACTTGGTCAATATCCAAATATTTATGGATCTGACTGTATATATTGATATAAAATGAGAAAACATTTCAATAAAAACACCCTCTAAGAAAACCAGCGACTAGATGAAAGTGCAATGAGATTGTTAAACCTACATACTGTAGCCAGCTGTACAGTGAGCAGATGGATGGTTGTGTATGGTTTATGAAGGTTTTGTTTGGTTTAACCTGGGGGGGGGGGGGGGGGGGGGGGGGGGGGGGGGGGGTGTAGCGGTTACAGTCAGCTATGTACATGATGATATTGGAGAGGGAGGGACAGCTCATTGGCAGAGGCAGGATCTGAAGGTTGGGGTGGGGGTTCAGGAGACTGACCCCATGACCTCTTTCACCTCTCCACTCTGAGTTCTGACCTTCAATGTGCCAGGTCAGTGTGGCTGGCACTCAGGTCTCGACTCTTTCTCAGATGATTATTTTGCTCCTAGAGAAGGCAACAGAGGGAATAGGGTTCAGAATAGGTTGAAGTTAAGAACTAAAGAAATACAAATACAAATGTACTCTTGTACAATTGGCACAGCGTCGTCCGGGTTTGGCCGGTGTAGGCCGTCATTGTAAATAAGAATTTGTTCTTAACTGATTTTCCTAGTTAAATAAAGGTAAAAAAAAAAGGGGTCCAACATCACAGATTTCCATGAAGAAAATGTCAGTTTTTCTTGAATATGGAATACAGATTCAGTGCCTTGAGAATGTATTTATATCCCTTGACATTTTGTTGTGTTACAGCCTGAATTCAAAATTGATTACATATATTTTTTTCCTCACCCATCCACACACAATACCCCATGATGACAAAGTGAAAACATGTTTTTAGACATTTTTGCAAATTTATTGAAAATGAAATGAAGAAATATCTCATATACACAAGTATTCACAGCCCTGAGTCAATACATGTTAGAAACACCTTTGGCAGCGATTACAGCTGTGAGTCTTTCTGGGTAAGTCTGTAAGAGCTTTGCACACCTAGATTGTACAATATTTGCCAATTATTCTTTTAAAAATCCTTCAAGCTCTGTCAAATTGGTTGTTGATCATTGCGAGACAACCATTTTCAAGTCTTGCCTTAGATTTAAGCAGATTTAAGACAAAACTGTAACTCGGCCACTCAGGAACATTCACGGTCTTTGTGGTAAGCAACCCCAGTGTAGATTTGGCCTTGTGTTTTAGATTATTAGTGTCTGGTGGAAAGCAGACTTAACCAGGTTTTCCTCTAGGATTTTGCCTGTGCTTAGCTCCATTCCGTTTCTTTATCCTGAAAAACTCCCCAGTCCTTATCGATTACAAGCATACCCATAACATGATGCAGCCATCACTATGCTTGAAAATATGGAGTGTGGTAACTCAGTAATGTGTTGTATTGGTTTTGCCCAAAACATAACACTTTGGATCCAGGACAAAAAAATATTTTAGTGCCTTGTTGCAAACAGGATGCATGTTTTGGAATCCTTTTCAATTAGGTTAGTATTGAGGAGTAACTACAATGTTGTTGATGCATCTTCAGTTTTTTCCTATTACAGCCATTAAACTCTTTAAAGTGTTTTAAAGTCACCATTGGCCTCATGGTGAAATCCCTGAGTGGTTTCCTTCCTCTCCGGCAACTGTGTTAGGAAGGATGCCTGTATCTTTGTAGTAACTGGTGTATTGACACACAATCCAAAGTGTAATTAATAACTTTACCATGCTCAGTGATATTCAGCATCTGTTTTTATTCTATTTCTACCAATCTACCAATAGGTGGCCTTCTTTACGAGGCATTGAAAAACCTCCCTGGTCTTTGTGGTTGAATCTGTTTTTGAAATTCACTACTCGACTGAGGGACCTTACAGATCATTGTATGTGTGGGGTACAGAGATGAGGTAGTCATTCAAAAATCATGTTGAACACTATTATTACACACAGAGTGAGTCCATGCAATGTGACTTATTAAGCACATTTTTACTCCTGAACGTATTTAGGCTTGCCATAACAAAGTAGTTGAATACTTATTGACTCAAGACATTTCAGCTTTTCATTTTTAATGAATTTGTAAAATAAAAACATTAACATTATTCCACTTTGACATTATGGGGTATTGTGTATAGGCCAGTGACCAACAATCTTAAATTATTCCATTTTAAATTCAGGCTGTAACACACAAAATGTGGAAAAAGTCAAGGGGCGTGAATACTTTCTGAAGGCACTGTTGAGTATTTTGGGGAATGTGGTATATAATATAAATGAGATGTGACACCAATATGTCAAAATCTGGAGTTCCGTGACAGTGATGAGTGGTGCACAGACCGGCACAGTATTCTGGAGTCACACCCTTATCATATGGTGGGTTGGCAGAACCAGTATACCGCCATGTAGAAAGGTCCCATGGTCCAGTGATGAATATTCTCAAATCAATCCATTCAGATTCATCTTTGTGAACAATTTATACAAGTCCGTTAATAACAGGAGTAACATTGAAAGTAGAACTAGTTAATCTGTGAACCACTGTGATGTTACCACACACACGTCATTTCATTAGTGACCAATTTCTGAGATGACTGCCCAGGTGAAGAGAGGCAAGGGCCAACTTAACCACAGATCACAACCATGAGGACCAATGGGAATTTGAGTTTCATAAAGTGAGGACTCAGAGAGTAGTGTGTAAAAAAAGGAGGGAGGTAGATAAACAGAGGGGAGGATGAGAGAAGAGACCCAGAAAACAATGGGGAAAAATTGGGTGATGTGAAAGATGGAAAGAGGGGGAGAGAGCGAGACAGTTGGGCTCCTTACTTGGTAGAGGTCTCCGGCAGCATTGTCCGTCACGTTTAGAACACCCAGTGAGCTGGCTCGCTTCATGCTGCATCAAGAACAGTAACATGCAAGGAGATGTCGGTGAGGGCCGGGGTGAGGGGTCAGGGGTGAGGAGAGGAACATGTGGCCAATGGAGATGGTATGTGGGTTAATAACAATAATGAGACTCACTCACGTTAGTTTCCCCAGACAATGCCCCCCACAATACATAAAGCAATATCTATGAGCTAAATCATACTCTTTAACCCTGGTTAAAATTGGGGGCACCACACCTGTACATTTGTATGTAGAATCTTTGTAGCCCAATGTGCTGGAAAGCACAGCAGACCTTTTTAAGTGTGCCCCTCTCATACTGGAGATACAAAATCTTCAGTCAGTAGTTCAGTCAAATGCCATTTTTTGCTTTTCTTTACCCTATCCTATAACATATGGGTTGAAGGATATACTTATCAAAAGTTAATGAGAGCGTGACATAACAATTGACTAAAGGGAGTATTTTGTGCCAAATTCATTTGCGCCTCTTGCAAGGGGAATAATATTGTTTTGTATTGATCAATACAGATTTCTCTACTGTCTCCTGGATTAGAGAGAGGTCATCATAATGGGGTTAATGCAACATCGAAGAGTTAGAAGCAAAATGAGGAAAATGTGTCAAAGAATACAGAATACCAGCAAACAGATGAGGCATGCAGTAGCCATTCGCTTGGAAACGTTTATTCGTCAATAAAAGCACAACACAGCACAGACAGATGTATTAGAATATTAAAATAAAACAAGATGCCCATGCAGACAAAAATAAATTATGACAAAAATTCACCAAGACATTATTGAAAAGAAATGCTAATATTTGCACCTTCTTAAAATGTAAAATGGTGAATAAAAGGAAGACAATATGGCAAGAAAATAAATCAAATACGGGTTTCATAGGCAGAAATGCAGACAGGCATTTCAAAGCAGACAATTCGTAGTAGTGTGGTAATCTAAAGCTCTCAGCCATTCTCTTTAGTCTCCAGATTGTCCATCACAGCTGATTGAGAGTATTCTGTGTACAACAGAATAAACTAGGCAGAGCAACGGATGTGACTTTTTATACAAATTATGACATTAAAAAGAGAAGCTGCTGACTGAGGCACTTTGTGTCCTCTGCCTTATTCTCTTTGCCCGTCAGCTCAAAGCACTTCCTACACTGGACATATCCACACGGGCAACATAGCCTGGAATAGTACCCTGCTTATTCTAGAGAGTGATTTTGTGCCAGTGAGAGTCTGTACCAGTCACAATATGTGGCATTCATAGTGTATGCCAATGAAAGTGCACAAGTATCAGCCGCTTGAATCTGTTAGTTAGTGCAACCCACAGTGATTAATGAGTTGTGCCAAACAGGACTCAGAGATCCACCAAGTTAACCCACAGCAGAGTAGAGATCCCTCCAGGAGCAGGGTGGCTTAGTCTTTTCTAGGCAGATCTAGTGGCAGTACACCAATCCAGTGGAGCGAGGTGGAGAGGAGGGGCCCCACATTAAGGGTCAAGGGTTCAAAGGTGAGGGGGATAGTTACCCAGGGTTTTTGGGCTCGCTCTCCCGTGAGCCGCCACCCTTCAGCTTGCGGACCAGTTTCTCGCTGCTGCGGCGAATAGAGGCACGGAGTTTACTGAAGGAGCCGCTCCGCTTCAGAGAACCAGAACCGTCCTGATGAGAGAGGCCAGAGGGTTACACTCTCACACACGCATACTCAAGCACGCACGCACACACACACACTTGTATACACACAGGCAGAGACAAACATGCACACAGTCACACACATAGACCCACACATTCAGTTCAGATATGAACACACGTATACAGAGATCTGGTTCAGCAAATTATTTCCATCGACATCTGTCTGCATATATGATGGACTGTGCATATGAGGGTGTGCTTGTCATCTGCATCTGATTAGACTCGCTGTTCAGACAAAATGTCAACCTCATCAGTGTGCTATCCAGAAATTCTGCTATAAAGAAGTCAGAGAAGCCCTCCAAAGACCTCTTATGAGGTCACAATAGTTATCTTGGGTCAACAGAGCAGAGCAATTAAATTCCTTCAATAATCGACTTTTACCCCAAAAACATGAGGCATGTTGCTTTTCCTGCTTTATCTTCGAGAGGGAACACACAAAGAGGCTACAGGCAAAGATCTGGGTGAGCAAAGAGTTAAGTTTTATTAGAAGTTAAGAAAGACAGTGTAAGATCAGATGCACAAACAGACAGGACAGAGTAGATTGAGTAGATTAGTAGGAGCCATGAAGAGAAGTGTCCAGATTCTGCACTGCAGAGCAAGGCTTGTCCCACCCCTCTGTCCTTTACCATTCTTTACCCTCCCACCCATTCCACATTTGTCTACGTATATACAATAATATACAGGAGCTGCAATGTCTTCTGATGCCCCCTTGTGATCATGACATCACAACACTTAAGTTAGACATCAATAGGACCATTTGGAGCACAGGATCAAACACTACTAAAGAAACTCGACAGTAGCCTAGCGCCACCATGGTGCTCTTAGGGAGCATACAGTATGATTATCATGCCACCAGCTCATAGTATTTACAGTATGTTAGTTAAATCAATAGGAGCAAGAGCAGTCCGGTATGCATCAGTCAGTACTAGTAAATGCTAGAAACTCAACACCACCACACAGAGATAGATAGAAACTCCTCAAGCGAGAGAGCAAGGAGACAGAGTTTAAGTACAGTAAAGAGTAAGATAAGGTAATGGCAGGAGGCAGGAGTGGCTTGGATTGGTTCTGAGACAGAGTCCAGAACCCCTGTTCCCATTGACATTGGATAGAGCTGGGGTCAGCTGTAACCAGACAGACAGCCCAGAGGAGGAGAGAAGGGGACCAGAATCTGAAGAGAGGACACAACTGCAAAGCCGGAGGGGTGGCAGGCGAGCAGGCGTCCATCATGCAGAAGACAAGTTTTTAGAACCACAACAAGGCATCTGGAGTTATGCCTGCCAGTCAGACAGCGATGGAGAGAGATGAGGGAGAGACAGGGATGGAGAGAGAGAGAGAGAGAGGTAGACAGAATGAAAGAGACAGAAGAGGTAGAATAAAGCGAGATGGGGAGAGAAAAATGTGGAAGTGGTAAGAGGAAACCAGAGGAATTCAGACAGACAGAAGCAGTAAGCCAAAGGGTGTCCCCCTCAGAGACAGTATTTCTCCACGTAGGGCTGTGGATGTGCTTTACTACTGTAGAAGGCGTCCGCACTCAACAGTTGCAACAGCTAAGGAGCATAACAGGACAAAATAAATGAAACCATAGACCTAGGGAAAATTAAGAGTGAAAAATCATGGATGAGTGAATTAAAGAAGCCTTAATACATCAACTGATCCTAAACATTCAATCCCCTCATCAAATATAGGCTTAGTGCATCCAACTGAAGCAAAGGCAGCATGGATCTGGGTTTTGAACTGCTGTTCCATGTCTTTGACCTCTGAGCCTAAATGGCCAGTTAAAGCATCTCATAATACACTGAGGAGTTAGCCAGTATGAGCTGGCCAGTATGCTGGTAAATTTGGCAGTTATGTCATTTGGAAAGCAAATTAATAGAATTTTACTTAATGAATATAACAGACGTTTACTCAACTCAGTATATCTATAAAAAAAATATCCACAAAACAGCCAATAACTATAACCCCAAAATAAAAACCATTTAGATTCTTCAACTCTATCCAGCTTGTGTATTCTAACTATGGTTCTAACCCAGTTTGGTTTCTATATAAAAAAAAAAGAAACTCTAGTCAATTCCCTGTACAAAGCCATCAGCCATTTTCAACAGCCAAGTCCAGTGGGCCTGAGGCTCAACCAAAGGCAAATCAAATCAAAGCGCCGGAAAATCCCCAAAAGAAGACAAACAAATGGAAAAGAGGAGAGATACTGTGTCTGGAGAATGGTCGGTCTTTTCACACAGTTATATCATAGTTGCACACACAATAGCACAGGTTTTACTCAGAGGAGACAACAGGTTAGCCCACCACAGCATGCACAGACAAGGGCATGCAGACAGTAGACACTCAGAATCAGCTAGAGTAATGGGACAGGCCCAGGGTGGATGCTGCCCCACCTCTACCTGGTAACAAGCTGCCACTGGATGCAGAGGAAAAGACAGCAGGGGTACTGTATCACGATCTGCATACATGTATAAGTCTGTCCATCCATCCTTCCCAGTATGTATTATGCGTCTGACAGAGGATACAGCTGTACAGGTCACACAAACACATACTGTAGGTGCTTGAGCATGCACACACACACACACATAAGCAGACACCAATTGGCAGGTAAGTACAGACAGTACAGTAATGACAACCCACACATGATGAAAGTGTCAGAGGGACTGTGAAGATGTACAGTACAGAGCCCACATGCATCAGTAGTGATGACAACATCAATAAGTCACCATGGCAACATTAAAGGTGTGGTTTAACACACAGGTTAACCGACTGACTGGATACTGTGAGTGTCTGACAGACCCAGTCCAATAGGTGTGCAGTACAGTAGAGAACACAGGTTACGAATGTGCCTGAGACCAGTCTCCCCGGAGCCTTGAGGTGCAGACCAGGCAGGCAGGGGACTCCCAGGAGGAGATGCTGATTGGTTGTCTTGGACACTACGGTTATTGTTGCTACGGCAGCAGAAAAGTTCTGTATAGCAGACTACAGCAGGGAGTGTTGTGTAGTTCGCAAACATACACCGTGACCAAGAGGACTTTACTGCAGTAATCGGATAAAGACAGAGGGAATAGCATACAGCTGTAAGACTACTGCATGGAGAGGACGTGTTAGTTGTGAGCAAAATACTGTTTGCTGCAAACAAATTAGAAGCATAAAAAACATATTGCTTCTATAATAGGCACAGTAACTTGCTGCCACTGAAAATAAATAAGTATTCCTTAAGCAGATGGAGTGTTCACTCAGTGTTAGTTGAGGACTATAAGCATCAGTGTAGACTAGAAGCATTAATGTAGAACTGAGGTGATTATTACCACAAACAGTCAATCAGCATTAGAACTTTAGCTTTCACACCAACAATATGGAGTCATAGGGAATCTAGGACAGTTACCATCAAGGTTACCACTGGCAAACTCAGTCTTCAATCAAATAATTTACAAGTTGTAGAGGATATGCACTTTAAGAATAGGTAAGAAATAACTTTCAACATTTTCTCAAGGGGGGTGTGTCTGTACCCCTCCCTACACCCTGTGTGTGGCCTGGGCTATGTACTGTACTTACCCCGTTCCACTCCACGCTCATACTCACTTCCTCGCCCCCGTCCGGGCCGCTCTCGTACTTGACCGTGGTGTCGGAGGTCAGACTCTCACGGCTCCGCTGCTTCTCCCGCGCCTCCGGCTCGCTCAGAACATCCGCCACACGCTGCTTGTGCACTGTGTCCAGACCCTGGCCACGTGGACAGGAGACACACACATTATGAACCAAATAAACACGTACAAAGATGACAAAGAATGCAAAATAAAAAAATCATGAACATTTTCATGAGCCATCTACAGTGATCAACATCATGTGTTGGATTTGTTTACAATAGATGAAAAGCAGGACCTGCTAATATTTCAGATAAGCTGCTGGACCAATGATACTCCTACAGTGTGTTCACCTCAACTTTCATATGACCCTGGCCTGGCAAATCTATTATTCAAGCAAGTGAGTGGCAGAAGAGGACAGTGGTCACACCTGTTTTCTGGAGCGCATGGCTGCCTCCTCCAGTGTCTCTGCCGCCTCAAATTTACCCTGCTGCCTGTAGAGGGCGCCCAGATTCTTCAGGGTGGTCGTTACTGTGGGGCTGGGGGCAGAGGACAGAAATTGTAAACACATCATGAACTAATGATGTAATCACACACAGAACAGTCCATGAGTTTCCAGACTCAACACAGACCTGTCTACTTTACAGGCTTTGTACCAGCCTCCATACTCTCCGAATGGGGAGCCTTCCTGCTGCTTTCCCTAGAGAAGAGAAGAACCACCACATCCATCAGTCGTCAGGATTTTGTCAGGATTTAAGTACTTCAAAACGCTAATGACAAACACCCACCCCTATTCACGGGTTGCACTTTACATCACAATGTTGTTTTGAACATTTGTGAGCATTGTACTCAATGCATCCTCATTGGGCGCTGATTATTTGGTCTAAAGTGCATTACTGTGGCTTGAAAACACAATGACATTTCTAAAAAAGACAAATACTAAGTAGGAAAACCCTTTGTCATCATTTTGATGTCGCCAGATTGACATTAGATGCAGTATAATGTTAGCTAGCGGGGCGGCAGGTAGCTTAGTGGTTAAGAGCGTTGTGCCAGAAACCGAAAGGTCGCTGGTTCTAATCCCCGAGCCGACTAGGTGAAAAATCTGTCGATGTGCCCAAGATTTTCGCTAGCTAATGTTAACATTGCTAGCAATTGTTTTACGAACTTTGCTAGCTAATGACAACATTGCCATCTGTCTAAAAGTACATTTGCCAATGATGGCAAAGTTGTTTCCTACTAAATATGCGCCTACTTTACCAGTGTCATCGTATTCCTACACCCCTATAGTGTAATTTAGACAACACAGTCATTAGCCCCGGTTCAAATTCATTTGCCCCCTTTCTACTTTTGAGCAACAATATGGCTGCGGCATCTGTAGAACATTGATAACAATGGCAACGACGCGACCGAGTGACGGAGCTGCAACACATGAATAGCAAAACTGTTGGTCATAAAGAAATTGCCTGAATATTCCAGCTAATTCTGGACAAATTATATGGAACCGTGAAATGAGATCTAGATTACATCAGATACGATAAGAGTAAATTAACCGATCTGAGACATGCTAATGTAACCCAATATACATAACAGTGCTTAAAGAGTGTTTAGTGGTGGGAAATTGAGAGATTACAGTTGGTCACAATTTCTTCAGCAGTCTAAATTGATAAACCTTTCATACCGTGACTGAAACACTTTTCCCTGTCTGTTGTGAAAGTTCAGCCACAGCAGTCAGTAGTGACACATACCATGGCCCTTAGTGAAAGTGGACCCTCTACTATCCCTCTGACATAAACACACACGCACTCAGACACTCGCGCTCACCTTGCTCTGTTCCTCTCTCTCCTCAGCATGCATCCAAATGGGTTTGTTCTCATCTGCAGAGCCAGAGACCAACAACAACAATCAGACACACGCAGGTCCAAAAAGATATTGACTGACATTCAGAAAGTCAGGTAGACAGCCAGCAGGGTGCTCTAAGTGCTTGACCTGGTCTGGCCCAAAGTATTAGAGCATTCAACTGAAAGGTCACTGTTGTTTTCAGAAGCATTTCCACTAAAATGATGACAGCAGCCTGAAAACATTAACCTTTACATCAAAGGACAGATTGTGTGTGTGTGTGTGTGTCCTCGGGAGTACCAGAAAATCACCACAAGTATAGTAAAACAAGGACAATTCTCACCTGGGAAATGTCCCCACGAGGACAAAGGCTATTTTAGGTTTAGGGGTTAGGTTTAGGGAAATAGGATTTTGAATGGAAATCAATGTTATGGCCCCACAAGGATAGTAAAACATATGCTGTGTGAGAGAGTGTGTCTTACCGTCTACAGAGCCAAACTCCCTCTCATGTGCGCGGGTAAGGATCTCTTTGTACAGAGTTTCAGCCTGCTTGAACTTCCCCTGCTTCAGGTAACAGGACGCCTTTGAGGGGAATAAAGAGACAATGTAAGAATATGATCTTCAAAAAGTAAGAAAATCTTCTACTCATAATTAATTCTAAATGTGCAGTCATTATTCCAAGCCAGTGATCCCTTAACCACTATGTGACCCTCTCACCAAGTTGTTCTTGGTCTTGGCCACGTTGGGGTCGTCAGGGCCCAGTTTGGTCTGGTAGATCTCCAGGGCCCGCTGGTAGTAGTACTCCACCTCCTCGTACTTGCCCTGGTTCTGACACAGCAGGGCCAGGTTGTTCAGCTGCTTGGCAACGTCTGGGTGGTCCTTACCCAGAACCTGGAGGTTTCAAGTGCAAGTGCTGATATGTGATCACTTGAATTAAAGGTTAATTACACCACAAAATAAAAATGTCTCACTTTTCCCAGACCTCAAAAGTGATCTGATGTGGTTTAAATCATTGTTGTATTAATGCCTGGATTCCATGACGGCCCTACTTTGGACCAGAATGAGGCTCTTAATTACCTATTGTTCCTGCAGTGATGATTCACCATCTTCATTGAATGTTTTCATAATTTATCTGCAGATAATTCCCAAAAAGCCTAGGCCTACCAGTAGCTTATGCAAATTAGGGAGCCAAATGAACAACTCTCTCACCGATGCGATTCGGTAGGCTACACTGACTGTTGAGAGTCACTCACTTTAGCGTCACTCTGGCAAGCCCCGACATCCTATGAAAGGAAACCTAGGAAATATTTTGGTTTACTTGCCACGACACCATGGGCATACAGTGCATTCGTAAAGTATTCAGTCCCCTTGACTTTTTCCACATTTTGATATGTTACAGCCTTATTCTAAAATGGATCATCAACCTACACACAATATTCCATAATGACAAAGTGAAAACAGGTTTTTAGACATTTTTGCAAATGTATTAAAAATAAAAAACGTATTTACATAAGTATTCAGACCCTTCGCTATGAAACTCAAAATTAAACTCAGGTGTATCCTGTTTCCATTGATCATCCTTGAGATGTTTTTACAACTTGATTGGAGTCCACCTGTGGTAAATTCAATTGATTGGACATGATTTGGAAAGGCACACACCTGTCTATATAAGGTCCCACAGTTGATGGTGCAGATAATAATGACGAGATACTCATGTCTCCGCCCTAACAATGGGAGTCGTTGTCCCAAAGGCGGGAAGGCAGGCGACAAGCTTAGGTCCAAAATAAGCCCATAGAAACGCATTGGGCTTTCTCTGACAGAGTTGGGCGCGATTGAAACCTCTCGCTTCGCCTCTTCCTCTCTGCTGCATTTCCCTGTCATTGCTCGCTTTGTGACCGATAGGTGCCTGTCCTAACAATAGATCGCTAGAAGATGCATATCGTTCATTTTAGCGGGAGAGGGCTCGACGGACTTGTGAATTGAAACCTTTAAATGAAAAGTAGCCTAGTTAATATGAAGTGGAGAATGTAGCTGGCTGAAAATAGGTCCGTAACCGGCTGATTAGCCGACAGCCAGTTCTTATGGAAAACACTGGACCACATCCCCTTTACTTTGGATAGAAGAATAATCTCAGTTCTGTCCTTTATGTTTGCTGGCTAGGCTAAATATCGTAAGAGAATAGGAGGGTGAAGTCAGAGCAGAGCTGGAGAAGAGGTGAGGCATCACTAAGGGGTTGGGTGAGGACAGAGAATGGAGCTGAGGGATAACGCTGTCTCTGTCTGACTGACTCACTGAAAGATAGACACACAGAGACGGAGTTAGGAGTGAGAGGCTTACTGCTCGTTAGCAGGGGAAGAGTGCTCTTCTTTCCCTTCTATGCAGTGACCGACTGAGAGGCTTACTGATTAGGAGGTAGACTATAGAGTCTCTCTGATTGATGGTTTCTGTCTGAATGATCAATAATGGGAGGATTTCAAAGCAACCTGTGCTGCTGGATGTGTACAAGTCTCACTCCCCCTCTCTCCTGTGAAGTTTCTAGGTGAATTTCAAGGGTTTACTGTAAACATCATTAGAAGTATAGGATTTCAACAAGGAATATAAGACAGCAATGTCTGGGTGATATATTGATTGAATTTTATTGAGGACAGTGATGCCTTTGAACTCGAGCCATGGTTAGTGCCTGTTACTGGGGTACTCTGTAGAGAGACCCTCCGTCCTCCTCCTCCTCCTAGTCTTCACCCACAGGGATAAACCAAGGACTGAGGCAGCTCACACAGTGGGAAAAGCACTTGCTATAAAAAGAGAGAACTGCAGGAAAATTCCTCCTGCATCAGCAAAGCTGTGTTCCTTCCTCTGTTGCGAAAGCTGTGTGGCAAATCTCTAACCTCGAGAGAGAGAGAGAGAGCTTTATCATCAGAGTTGAAGTGGAGAATATAAATAAAATGTCTCAGCTGTCCTTAAGCTCTGTGCTCTCCAGCACAGGAGTCGACATCAGAGGGAGTCGACATGTCATTCTTAGCACAGAGGGAGCGTGAGGGGAAAAGGCACAGGGCGAGAGAGCGAAACAGAAAGGGAGATAAATAGACAGCACTTTGCATCTCCAGGACTGCTGAGCTTCTCCTTTATAAGCATCCCATTTTGCGCAGCCAAATATAATGAACCCCTTCCAGGACTTAACTCTCTCCAAAGTCACAGTTCCTCTGAGCAACACAAAACTATAGGTAGGCTTGAGAGAGGAGGGGGCGATTACTCGGGGGAACATATACACAGAAGATAAGTTAAAAAATATATATTATGTTCGACAAAGAAGAAAACTTTCCAAAGAACCGAAAAGTCCTTTGAAACTTGAGCAAGATTTACTTGGAGAGGAGCAGCAATCCGGATCATTCTGCTGTATTAGCACTCCATACCCACAATGCCTTGTGGTGACCTGTGCCCTCTGACCCACCTTCTCCCGGATCTCCAGAGCCCGCTTGCAGAGGGGCTCCGCCTCCTTGTACTTCCCCCGTTTCCCGTAGAGCACAGCCAGGTTGTTGAGTGTAGCAGCCACCTGAAACACACACACACAAAAAATCAGTAATAGAAAAATTATCACGCTTGGGACAGCCTCAATCATCTGTGCCCATGTGTAGTAGTGAGTGACCGCAAGACTCAACCACGGCAGCAGAGTGCAATTGATTTGGTGAGTTAGTTAGAAGTGTGACCGACCGACGAGAGGAAGACAAACAGGGGAAACAGGAAGTGATTACAGCTCTGTAATTGTATCCCAATCAGCAGGATGAATCTCCACCACGTGCACATCACTCAGCCCACCAGACCACAGTGACCTTTGACTTGGTCTGGTGCCCACATGGAGGGGGAAAGGGGATAGAGAGCCTAACCTCTGCTGTTCTGAGTCTGCACTGAGGGAACTGGAGGTCCAGGGAGAGTCAGAGACACAAGCCTGTTGGGGTCGACACAGTTAGTGGACCTGCCTGCCTGGCTGGTTACAGACATACTGCTGAGGCACAGAGATGATGAGAAACATCACTCACCGCTGGATGGTCCCTGCCCAGAGTCTTCTCCCTGATGGCCAGAGCGTCGTTCAGCAGGTTGGCTGCCTCTTTGTATTTGTTCTGGTCCCTGAGAGAGGAGAGAGAGAAAGAGAGAGAGAAGCCATGGGGCATGTTACCGTGGTTTCTCTGACAATGAGGTCAATTACCACGGTGTATCAAGAACAAGTTTGAAAACATTGGGAATCGTAACCATGGTTTCTCAACAATGGGAGCTAGTCTCTCACCACATAAACAACCATTTTATCCAACACAACCCTTCCTTATGGACAAATGTTTTGTCTTGGATAGACCTATATCAAGTATTGCAGGTAATCAACATGCAATGCAATCAATGATCATTACCAATCCTGTAACTAGCAGCTGACAACTCTTATCATACGAGCTGACTGATAACTTCAAACATATTGACTATAATTGATTCACACCCAATATACTAACCACCCCCACCCCAGAGCCCCTCCCCCGGACTGACCTGTAGACCAGGGCCAGGATGTTGAGCATGGTGGCCACATCTGGGTGGTCGTGTCCGGAGGTCTTCTCCAGGTCCTCCAGGGCCTGTTTGCAGAGGGGCACGGCCACCTCATAGCGGCCCTGGGAGGCGTACTGAATCACCAGGTTGTGGAGGGTCCTGAGGCGGGCCGGGATCTCATAGCCTCCCTGCTGGGCCGCAGCTGCTGCCGCACTACCGTGGGGCTGCTGGACTGGAGACACACAGAGCAGGGGGGCGAGGGGTTAACATAACATAAATTACTCACATGGACTATTCACTCAAACACATTATTAATGTTGGAGTGGAGAAAATTAGACACTGGCTGTGTCCGAATACCCATACTAGCGTACTAAATAGGAAGGATATATATTTTTTAATAGTATCGTGTTTCTCATTAGATGCCCACAGCTCTGTATCACCTCTGAAGGAGGGCCAGTGGGCTGCAGTAAGAACACTCTCCACCACACAGGAAGAGAGCCTGGAAGATATCAGTATCATTAGTATCGCGGCAAGGAAACAAAACACGAAGGGTATTAACTTCTTTAGGAAAACAGCCTTAATGTTGGAAACAAACATTATGTTGTCATCCAGAGTCACATTTATTTCCCAAGCTAAAGCACACAATATTTAACATACAGCAGGTTTTTAAAGGACAAGATAGTTTATTCTGCTTTGCGTTTTCATTCTTGCCATGGAAACAATATTTAGATACTGGTATCATCCTGGCCTTACACAGGAAGTACCAAAAATGTCACGCCGGCAAAAACTGATCCCAGGTGTTCAGACCACTCACACTAGTGACGAATCCTATCGACATGCATGGCCAAGCCAAAGATATCCACTTGAAAAAGTGGTAGTGCAAATACAGCGCACTGCAACTACCTAAAAACATAGCCAGGGCGCATTGTACCAACTCCAGCATTGCACTGATAGGGACCTAAGAGCCTATCAACGAGGTAGCAGTCAGGACAGTAGAGGAGTCTAATCCACTTCACTATAACAGTACCAGCCCAGGATCCTGTCATACAGACACAGAGCCCCATCTCAGCCAGCTCTGCTTAATGTGGCAGCAGGATTACTGTGAGCGCACCCAGGACCATTTGATGATGTGTTCCTCCCCGCAGTCTGGAGAGCTTCCTGGCACTACCCACTCTTCCCTTTGATCCTCTCTTTCTTTCCCTCTGCAGAAACACGGATTAAAATAAAGTAATAATATCCCAATACAAACACAATAAAGGACTAGAGATCCTGCTCTTCTCTCCCTCCCTCCTCCACAGCCCTATCTGCATCTCATTAGCTCTCTATGTGGTGAAGCTATTACTGGAGATGTAACATATTGCAGGGATTTAAAGGGTACTAATGTAGATTACTGATATGTCTTACTTCATTTGTTGAATGTGGTTCTGTGTAGGATCATTATACGATATTGTAATGTACGTAAGATTCCTTTTGTTTAATTTTGTCAATAATAATCTGCTTAATGGGGAGTGGTTGTCTGTCTCTCTGCCTCAGATCCTCTCCTGTACATGCTGGTTGCTGGAGTGAACCCAACCCAGTGCTTGTGTGATCTGGCTCACTGGGTCCATTTCCATTTGGCCTGCTTCCACACTCAACCAGCTCTGTCTAATAGCACTTTAAAGCTCACAGCGATCAGGCCTTTCAGACCAACAGGAGGAGAAAGTAGTTAAAGAGGGACCAGTCAATGTATAGGAGGGAGTGGGGAGGGAAAGTGGGAACAAGGAGAGAGGAGAGGGAATGGGAGGTGAGGAACGAAGAGAGACGTGTGGATAGGAAGAAGACACTCACTGCCAGGAGGTTGGTCATCCTGGTCGTCTGGGAACAGATCATCCAGATTCTCTTTACTGGAGACAGAGTCCTTCTCCTAACAGGGGAAAACAGAGAGGGCAGATGATTGTTATTGTCATTTAGAGTAAACCAGGCAGATGAAAAGCGGTGGTGTGTGTGTTTGCGTCAGCCTGCCTGCGTGTTGTGTATGGTGTGGGTTAACTGACCGATGGCGACAGGTCCTCGTCGTACTTCTTCAGCTGGTTCATGAACTCCAGGTGTTTCTTCTCCTCCTCCAGCTGAGCCACGCTCTGCTCACTCTTCTGCAGCTTTTGCTGGGTGCCAGCCAGCTCGTCCCTCAGCCACTGGTTCTCCTGGCACAACCGGCGAACCTGTGCCCGCAGCTTCTGCTTCTCCGACTCTACAGAGCTCAGGTGGCCCGACAGCGCCATCATCACCTGGGCCAAACACAGCAGGGGAACGGGGGGGGGGGGGGGGGGTCGAGGAAGAACACTGGTGGTAAATTAATGGATAATCCTCTGTTTCAGTCTGGTTTACTGACACTCAGACCATTTAAGTAGTAGGTGACTGTGGGTTCTCCATCTAGCTGTCTAATTTGAAGGTTCATTCGATCAGATCCCAGAGGGCTCTAGCTCCAGCACACCCAGATCCAGAGGTATGTAGCAGACAAACAGTGTACTGACCTGTGCCTCGCTCAGGCCCAGCTCCAGCATCTCCAGGGACCTGCGGATCATGAGGGACTTCTCCTCCACCAGGTCACCCTGGTCTTCCTGCTTCAGGCAGCGCAGCGTGCCCAGCAGGCCCTCCAAGATAGAGTTGTGCTCCTGCTTCAGAGCCTCCAGGCCCTGGATCACCTGCTTGGTCCTGGAGATAATCTCATCCTGAGACAGCTTCTCCCCAGGGTCCTCCTCCTCCTTCACACACACCATGGTGGACATGTTCTCACGCATCCTGTACCAGGCACAAAGAAGAGGAATGGATTTAGTTGTCAGAAGTACAGATACCCTGGCCTAAGTACATTATAAATGCGCTGGCCCTTTAATTCACTGTCGCTAAATGCATTAGCCCTACACCATATTTGTTTACTTTTGACCTGTATCCATTGTGTTAGAGACTCAGACACTTTTGCTTGATATAACTTCTGTCCTCACAGCTGGGCGCCATATGACATTTTATCATCAGACAGCCTTTCCAACATCCACTTTAATCTAGCCCGTCTCAGTCAATATGCTCCTCTCCGTGTGTCTGCGTGGGAGAATAAGTATGTTTGTTGCACAAAGCGTGCTTATCAACCAATGACACACATACAGGCAGGGCTTCTGTGCTGAAGACAGACCTTGATGTATGGTAAGTCGAGAAAGAATGAAGAGTGTCTGGGAAATGTATTTGAAGACCTTCTGCTCTGACAGCTGCTCCTCTATTAGTTCAAACACAGAGCCTAGCTGAGGACTTGACGATGTAAATAAGCTTGGACAAAAGGAGCAGTGGAGCATTCTAGACTGCAATGTTTGAGAGACGCGCTGTCACTGGCAATTCCAGGCCCCTCCCAAAACATTCTCCCACCTGGCGAATAAACGTTTAGAACACTCAATGAATAGATGTAAAGGTCCAGCTCAAAGACTACCACCACATACATTTTGCATTTTTGTCATTTAGCAGACGCCCCAAATGCAATTAGGGTTAAGTGGTCCTCTGTAGCTCAGCTGGTAGAGCACGGTGCTTGTAACGCCAAGGTAGTGGGTTCGATCCCCGGGACCACCCATACACAAAAAAAATTATGCACGCATGACTGTAAGTCGCTTTGGATAAAAGCGTCTGCTAAATGGCATATTAATTTTTAAAAAAGTGCCTTGCTCAAAGGCATATAGACAGATTTTTAACTAGTCGGCTAGGATTCGAACCAGCAACCTTCTGCCCGATTCACATCAGAAACACGAATTAATTCATCAAAAAAATATCAACACTAGGCCTATAGGCTATGCCTACGCTGCATTGTATGCCATTGCCTCGTGAGTAAATATGAGCTGAAAAAACATTGTAGGCTATTCCGTTAAAACAACTACAGCCTATGTGCATGTTGTAATCAAAATTCTAATCTTAACTGGCGGATTTCAAACGATCCTTTTGTGAGGCGCAGCCGGGAACTCTGTAGATGGCGAGTGGTGGGGCGAGTGGTGGGATCGATAAACCAGAATTGGAGGATCTATCATCGTTTAAATCTCCAGTTTGGGAACATTTTGACTTCACAGTCGATTAAAACGGCAATGGACAGAGTTGTGTATAAGAAGTTAATAGTATGTTCTCCACTGCTCAACGAGAATAGCCTATGCAGTGGCACTTGTAGCTTGTTGTTGTTGTCGGCATCAAAGTCATCAAAGCGCCACTAGTCATAGAGCCTCCGTGTGTGGCAAAGCAAGTTAGGAGATTATCTAATCAATGGAAGATGAAATTAAAATGATGGAATTCAAAGTTAAATGAGAAGTATATGCTACAACGAACAAGAGCCAAGCAGGTAGGCTGCTATTTAAAGTGAAACTGACAGCTTTTTAGCAACATGAAATCTTATTAAAATCTGTTCATATACACCCCGAGGAAGAATGACACCAGTTTTTTTTATATTTTCTGACAAGTGAACACTTAGATATGGTAATTTCATAAATTCATAGAATGTTTGGGAATTACGTATATATAGTAAGGCATTTGTGAAAATTCTATATCAACATAGAGTGGGAAAGCGGCTGTACGTTTGGACAATTAATAGACACTGCAGCAAATAAAAGCTAATAAAACACATCTGCCTCGTCCAGGACCGGAGTCTACGCAGACCGGAGCGCCATAGCCAATCAGAGCTTTACAGTAGGCCTTTATGCAAATAACCATTTTGCCACACTGGTCAAACAACCATGAAAAGGTAGACACTCTCACCCTCAGTTATGCACATCCACAACAACAAGATCAACAACTAATGCTAGCCAGAGCAAGATTAGCTCAAATCTAACGAGGGAACATTAGATAAACCCTGTCAAACATTTTCAGATAGTTGGCCGTCAAAATTGCACTGATAAACGATGGGGAATAGTAGCCTGCTCGTCCTTCTGCTGCTTGCCTGCCAATGCATGCTTGTCCCAACCCAGATTTTGACAACTGAATGGGAACTGTCCTGCCTGCCTGCCCATTTGATCAATTCCAAATACATTTGATTGGCAACTAAGGGTGCATTCGTAAATTGCCTCCAGCATGTCAGAGTACGCTGTTTGTAAATTCAGAGCGTTCAGAGCGCACACTGCACTATTGACACTGGACGCTCTGGACGAGAGGTAGGGTTGATACGAGCGTTCCTTACAATGGCAGTCAAGCACCCAAACTAGCTAAAGTTGGCTAGCTTGCTAGCTACTTCCAGACAAATGAGAGAACACCTCACTCTGACCATTTTAAACCGGGTGGGCATTACACGACTTTCAAAATCCTAATCACTGAGCCTCTCACATTAAACAACCGTCTTTCCTGTAGTTTTTTTTTGTGTGTTACCAATGTAGTGGTGCGCACACTAAACGATGTGGCACAGACAGTGGTCACACACAACAAGAATCTTCACTTGGTCGTGAGGATTCTCAATACCATGCTGTCTCGCGAAAACAATGTGATTTCATTTAACGTAGCTATGAGCTGTAGCTCAAAGCAGCCTCATAAATGTTCAGTCAGACATTCATGCTTGCCATACAGAGTTGAAATATCTAGCCAACATTTTGAATTGAATAACATTGCTTGTGAACTTCAGAGCTGTAACGATTTGGCACTTTGGCTTTGGTTGAAGTCAAGTAGAAACGCATAACCGTAGTAGTCACTGCTTCTGCTCCAGAGTCTACACATTCTGGGTGATGTGAAACAACAGCATCTTACTGGCTTCTTCTCTGACGAGCTCTCATTGGCTATTGCTGATCACAGTTCTCAGAACATCTCACATTACAAGAGCATTGCCGATTTTGTGCCGATAAAATCAAACCTGTTTAAAAATATCAGGACGTCTAGGACTGTTCAAAGACGAGATCGGTAGCCCTTGGATTGCGTCTTTGACCCGCTCACATTAAACGAGCATCGGTGACGGCCGCGCACCCGAGTAGTCAACGACCTAGGGATTTTGTCTCCGATCTCAAAAACTTGTCTATGACAACTAAATCGAGGCCAAAATTGTGTAGTGTACACCCGGCTTTACTTGCCCTAGCAGAGCTGGTTAGGCTGTTTACATGTTATCTAGAGCGTTAGTGACTAACTGTGATGCTGGCAACAATTTAATTTAATCAAATCACCACAGCTATCCCCATTGAGACAGTGTCTGTGCCTCGATCTAGGTTGAGCAAAACTAAACATGGCGGTGTTCGCATTAGCAATCTCACTGGAATAAAGACCTCCTCCATTCCTGTCATTATTGAAAGAGATTGTGATATCTCACATCTCAAAATAGGGCTACTTAATGTTAGATCCCTCACTTCCAAGGCAGTCATAGTCAATGAACTAATCGCTGATCATAACCTTGATGTGATTGGCCTGACTAAAACATGGCTCAAGCCTGATGAATTTACTGTGTTAAATGAGGCCTCTCCTCCTGGTTACACTAGTGACCATATCCCGTGCGCATCCCGCAAAAGGTGGAGGTGTTGCTAACATTTGACAGTAAATTTCAATTGACAAAAATTTTTAAAGATTTTTCGTCTTTTGAGCTTTTAGTAATGAAATCTATGCAGCCTCTCAATCACTTTTTATAGCTAATGTTTATAGGCCTCCTGGGCCGTATACAGTGTTTCGCACAGAGTTCCCTGAATTCCTATCGGACCTTGTAGTCATGGCAGATAATATTCTAATTTTTGGTGACTTTAATATTCACATGGAAAAGTCCACAGACCCACTCCAAAAGGCTTTTGGAGCCATCATCGACTCAGTGGGTTTTGTCCAACATGTCTCGGGACCTACTCATTGCCACAGTCATACTATTGGACCACCAACTTATTATGTTTGCAGTGGCAACAAGTAATCTACTCAGACTCCAACCAAGGATCATCAAAAGCCGTGCTATAAATTATTGTACAACCCAAAGGTTCCTAGATGCCCTTCCAGACTCCCTCCACCTACCCAAGAATGCCGGAGTACAAAAATCAGTTAACCACCTAACTGAGGATCTACATTGCGTAATACCCTAGATGCAGTCGCAAATTTGCTCCCTGGTAAACAGAAAATACCCGAGCCCTGAAGCAAGCTTCCAGAAATTCTAGCCCGTCACTAAAAGTGGCAGTAACCTTGACATGGAATATGTAAAAAAAACTAAAATCAGCCTATATCGAATCTCCCATTCCCCTCAAATTTTAGAAAAAGCTGTTGCGCAGCAACTCGCTGCCTTCCTGAAGACAAATAATGTATATGAAATGCTTCAGTCTGGTTTTAGACCCCATCATAGCACTGAGACTGCAATTGTGAAGGTGGTAAATTACCTTTTAATGGCGTCAGACCAAGGCTCTGCATCTGTCCTCGTGCTCCTAGACCTTAGTGCTGCTTTTGACACCATCGATCACCACATTCTTTTGGAGAGATTGGAAACCCTAATTGGTCTACAAGTTCTTGCCTGGTTTAGATCTTATCTGTCGGAAAGATTTCAGTTCGTCTCTGTTGATGGTTTGTCCTCTGACAAATCAATTGTACGTTTCGGCGTTCCTCAAGGTTCCGTTTTAGGACCACTATTGTTTTCACTATATATTCTACCTCTTGGTGATGTCATTCGGAAACACAATGTCAACTTTCACTGCTATGCGGACGACACAGCTGTACATTCCGATGAAACATGGTGAAGCCCCAAAATTGCCTACCCTGTAAGCCTGTGTTTCAGACATAAGGAAGTGGATGGTGGCAAACATTTTTATTTTAAACTTGGACAAAACAAAGATGCTAGTTCTAGGTCCCAA